GCCCCGCGTGTGGCGGGGGGGAGCGGGGTTCCCCGGGCGGCCGTGGGAGTCGGGGACGAGGGCTGAGCACAGGGCCACGGGCTGGAGGGCTCCTGGCTCCCGGCTGCCGCCCGCGGGGAGGATGCTCAGCCGGTCAGGGTGTGCTTGCGCCGCAGGTGCCCACGGACGGGGAGCACTGCAGGGCACGGACTGCCCGCTCCCCGAGACCCCAGGGTGCTCTGGGTGCCCAAAAAAGGGTCCTGCAAGAGCCCCATCCTCTGGGACCCCCTCCCGGCTGCTCGGCCAGTGCTCTGGGAAGGGCCTTTTCCTGCAAGCGCGGCCTTGGGCAGAGCAGACGGAGCTGGAGGGCTGCGCAGCGCCTCAGGAAGGAACTGGGTCCGGCCCGGAGTCCGACTGTCTCCAACCACATGTACTTTCTCCATGACTGGACTGACAGGAATCCAGAATGAGTCACGAATTCCCCAAGACCCTCAGGGGACAAAGCGTGTCCCGGTTCCCCCTTCAAACCTTCTGCTTCAAAGCAGCCCCGGGATCACACGCGAGCCAGATGTGCTCAGCACTGGGGATGGCCGAGGCTCCCCAGGGATCGTGACCCACACACCAGGCGCTCCGTGGGGCCGTGGGACAGGAGTCACCCCAAGACCCCCGTCCCAGCAGGCTGGGGCAGCTCTGCGGGCAGTGGGGCCGGTGCAGCCGGGGCAGGGAGGTGCTGGTCCCCGCAGTGCTCGGCGCAGCCCAACGCTCCAGGATGAGCCAGGAATGGGTTTGTTGGCGAGACGCAGCCAGGAAAGGCAGGGACTGACCTGCCGTGAGCTTTGGCTTCCTCCCCAGCCAGCCCCCCCCGACATTCGCAGGCTGGGACACACACTGTCCCCTCGGGGTGGCAGAAATTAGGGATGGGGCGAAGGCTTTGCCATCCCTTGAGGGGCTGTGGTCTCCTGGGGAAGGGGGCTCACACCCCCGCCTTCCCTGGGATGGCCCTGGGACCATCGCAGCATCATTCCCGCTTGGGGACACACCGTGACACTTCTAAAGAGGTAGACGGGGCACAACCCATCCC